TTATTTCGTCCGTTCTTTTTGACATGAACTGTGGCTGCTCTTAAACCATATGTCTCGATATCACAACTAATGAATTCATGCTGTGCAATTCTGTGCATTATTTCTCGATTAAAGTCGTGATTGAGACCACTAGATATGTTTTCACAAGTCAGACTCATTTTCAGAAGAAACATTCGACTCAGAACGTGATTTGAACTTGAAAATATCCTTTTTTTACATGAAATACTCTGTCTTCTAAGCATGACTTTCTTGTTCCAAATTCTCAAATATCTCATGTGCATACGAACAGATGTTCGTCTAGGGAACTGACTATTTTAACTAACAAATTTTCAGACAAAGATAGATTTTGTTAATTGTTTGAATTCCTTTTCAAATTTTTTTATTGTTAAATCTTATATGTCTATATGCATAAGATACGTGAGTATTTGGAGCAAGAAAGTCATACGCTATCGATAAATATTGAGATCTGCGGACAAGACAATAAATTTTATGTAGCAAAGGATAGTTTCAAGTTCCCCTCATTTTATGAATCGAATGCTTTTCAGTTGCAAATGAGTTCGACTGGTGAAAACATAGCGAACGGTTTTAATCACGACTTTTACAAGAAAGTCATGTGCTATGGATAAATGTTGAGGTTTGCGCATGTCAAGTATGCGAAAAAAATTCTCATAGGGAAGTCTGTGTATTGACAGAAATAAATAGTATAAATATCTCTGAAAAACTTTACTGTTCATTTTAAGTCGACTGAGGAAAAAGCTGAAACGGAATAGTTAAAAAAATTATACTTTTGATTATAAATAATTCATTCAAAATAGTCCTATATATTGGCCATTTTCCCTATGCTTCAACAAAGCTTGATCCTATGCAAATTCCTTTTTTTTTTGAAAAGATCGTAATCACAACCCAGGAGGGTAGATCGAGAGCTAGATACACACTCACGCGCATATCCACACTCAGACCCACACCCCACACACCTACACCCACACCCACACTTTGGTTGATTCTCTTTTTTTCGCATTAAAAGTAGCGGCAATGAATTTTCCACCGGTTAACTTACACATTGGTACGGGTGGCAATGGTTATGGTGTAGGAAATTTGCCTCTTGGTGCACAAAGTCCATATGGTGCACTTCGTCTGGGTCCTGATACAAGCGACACATTCGATATTCCAATAATATTCGAACATTGTGGCGGCTATCATTATTCGGATAAATATATCAACGCTTTTTCACATACACATATGTTCGGCGCCGGCCTTCAAGATTATGGCGAAGTCGGTGTTTTTCCAATTCAAGTGGAAGATGATGATCATCTACAACATATGATTGCAAATAGATATAATTATCGAAGTACGTTTACGCATGAACGTGAACGAGCCGAACCGGGCTTCTATCAAGTCTAGCTCGATACACATAATATCAATGTTGAATTGACTGCTACCGAACAAGTCGGTGTCCATCGATATTCATTCGATAAGTTCAATAAACGACATCGTGTCATACTTATCGACAGTAGCTATACACTGCATACAAAAGCCTGTAATCAAAGTTATGTCAATATCGATTCGAGCAAGAATGAAATAACTGGTTCAATTCTTTTCGAAGGACCATTCTCTAAACTTTCTGGCGGTGTAACAACATATTTTGTCATTACATTCACGAATTGGACAAATTTCGGTGTTTGGACAAATGGCCATCTAGTCCAGGGACAAACAACAACCGATGGATGCTCATCAGGTGCCTACGTTATTTTACCTGATGATCAACAACAAGTAACAGCCTATGTTGGTATTAGTTTTATTTCAATTGAACAAGCACATATCAATTTACAAGTACAAACTGAACTACAATTATTCGATTCCATTCGTGAACTTGTACAGCAAAAATGGTTTAATGAAATATCTCGTTTTGAGGTATGTTCAGTTTCTCTGGGAAAAATAATCATCAATAACCCCAGAAGGAATTTATGAAATGTTATTTAACTTTGTTTCTGAGATCAAAATTTCTAACATACTCATTTTTGGATCTGAAACTCGACTCATATTAATTGTTTCTAGCGTCGAAATCGGAAAGTAGCCTGTTTGAGATAATACTGGTTGGAATCCGGTTGCAAAGAACACAGTAAATATAAAGGGATTGCTTGAGTCGCAGCTGAGACTTCGTCATTCTACACTTGACTAACCGGAGAGAAATTACCAATATATGAATACGGGAGAAAACATTTTTTAATATCATTAATTACAAATTGTAATATCATAGAATATTTGTCACCATAGGTCAGTGCTGAATGGAATCGTGAAGCCGAGATTAAATTCAATACGGCTATTGTTCATTCACTATCGAGTCCAACACAGTGGGACGAATCGAACGGTGTCTATTTGGGTTTTGATGGTCAAGTTCATACGAAACCTGATTATATGGAACATATCTATACGGATTTATCCATATGGGACATTTTTCGAACGCAAATACCATTCATTATTTTTCATGATTCACAAAGAGCCAATGATATTATTCATTCAATTATGCTTAATGTTGAACAAGGTGGTGATTTGCCAAAATGGCCATTTGCTAATATCTACACAAATTGTATGATCGGTTCACATGCTGATATTATGCTAAGTGATTTAATTATGAAACGTGAGCACAATATTCATCTCAATATGACTCAAGTTATTGAAGCATTACGAAAAGTTGCCAATCAAGCGCAAAAGCATGATAGTCGTTTTGATTCACCTACATACATAAAATATCAATATGTACCATATGATATGGATTCAAAATCGGCATCACAAACACTGAGCTATGCATACGATGATTGGGCCATCGGTAATGTAATGTACGCTGCAGGTCTTGTTGATGAAGCTCAAGAGTACTATAATCGATCTCTATGGTTTGAACATATATTTGATAATAAAACAAAATTTTTCTGTCCTCGAAATAGTACTGGTGAATTTTATTGTCCATCAAATGAAATTGAACAACTTAATCCATTCGATAATCTTTATGTAGAAGGTGATGCTTGGCACTATCGTTTCTTTGTACCACATAATACACGGCGTCTTATCGATTTATTTGGCGGTCCGGAAATATTTGTTCATGAACTTGATACGTTTTTTATGCGTAGTCAAATATGGACATCGACAATATTACCAAATCCATATTACTGGGCAGGAAATGAACATGATCTATTTTCTGTTTGGCAATTTCACTATTCTAATCGGTCTGATCTTACTCAATTTCATTCACGTTGGTTACTAGATCATGTTTATACAACCAACCCCGACGGAATACCAGGTAATGATGATTATGGTACAATGCCAGCGTGGTACATTTTTGCTAGTATGGGTTTTTATCCATTAGCCGGTTCATCTACGTATCTAATTGGTAGTCCTGCATTTGATCGTATTACAATTCGTCGTAATAATGGCCAATGCACACTCACAATTATTGTTCATAATAATTCACCTGAAAATATATATGTTGAACGTCTACTACTCAACGGTCAAATTCTATCAACATTTCCATTCATCGATCATGTCGATCATCTTCAATGTTCTACTGGAGCATCGTCAGTACAACTTGACTTTTTCATGTCATCCACATTCTCAACTGATAAATAAATCAACTTGCTTGTCGTCAAATTGATAGAACGTTCAAGGAGTTACACAATTTTTGCTGTGTCTCGAGTGACTCATATTCATGAACTTTAGAATGAGGGATGAGTTAAAGAGTAATAAGCTGCCACAACAATCCCCGGTCTTACTTAAGTTAAGAATCTCTTCAGGTAGTGTGTTTTACTATATATATATATATATATACATATATATATATAAATTTGTTTTGTATTTGGAAAAATGGAAATCGAAAGTTGCGCAGGTTTTTAATTGAATAATTAAGAAAACATACTAATATGCTCTAGTGTTAGGTGGTGACTCAAACAATAATAGTTTTAGTTTAGTTGTTTGAGGGTGTGAGTGGGCGGTAGGCGTATTCGCTCGATAAACGCCATATCGACATCCAACATCAATTGAGGTATATAATAGTGTTCACTGTGATTAAAGGTGATTGTCTCGAGATCAAACGATAGCACCTATCGATTGTCGATAGCATCAAGTTTAGACTTAAATGTTGTCGTGGCAAAGTCCTTGAAGTTTACTCTTTCCAGGTAATGAACATGATTTCCAATCAACATATGTCGAAGCATTTTCCGGATCTCGTGGTTGACACCTCATGTCCCACAGAGAACTAGTCTTAAATCGAATCGACTACAGCACATCGATGATATGAAAATAGCTTATAAGGGAAGCTCAACAGAAGACGAATCGCCAAGTTTTCGTGTCCGAAAGATAGTCACTAGAGTCACAGCAGTATCGAATATCAGCAGACTGTCTAATGGTGACTAATCATTATTCGGACGTTGTATTCAACTAAACTCTATCTCGCATGGCATGCACTGTAATTGAACGTGACTCTTAGAGAATTGTCTCAACATCTTGAGAGCGACATGTACAATCTTTTCTAAATATTTTATTCATTCACTTGAGGGTGTGGGTGTATATAATTTAGCTGCACAGCAGTACACCCACACCCTCTACACAACAGAAGGCAGAAACTATCAGCTGATAAGTTTGATAACGTACTTGTTGTAAGAAGTGTTGGAAAAGTATTAGGAACAGGGTGACCAGATCTTCTGAAAAAAACAGAAAAGTTTCTGAAATTTGAACCTATTTCTGATTTTTTTCTGATTTTGATACTTATTTCTGATTTTTCTGATTGTAGTAGATGCCCCTGATTTTTTTATGAATCAAAGACTTTAAGATTCCAGTTTTGTTGATTCAGTTTCAGATGCACGTGATTATAACTCATCACGATAATAAATGAATACTGTGCCATAAATTTTCTCTATTAATTATTGGTCGTTGAAGTCAAACAGTCAGCTACCGTAGTACGCTAAAATTCCTGTTTTAATCAACTTCTTTGATCTTCCCTTATGATATTTTACACAAGGAAACACTTAATGACGTAATGAATAATATAGATATGTTGAAAGATAGCGATAATGATAATATTCAAATTGAAAAAGTATCATCGTCTCTAAAAACAAAAAACTGTTTATTATTAGTTAAAAGATAGATTCAGTATATCGTCTTATTTTTATAGTGAAACGTATTGAAAATAAAATATAAATCAATGAATGAAAAGCCACGGAAACAATAGATGCCAAGAGTCTAATACAATAGCGATTAGTTTGCAATGAATTACCATTTCTGAAAAGTTTCTGATAATTCTCTGATTTTGAAAAAAGCATTTTTGATTTTTTAATTTTTGATCTGATCACCCTACTTAGGAAATATATAAAAAGCTGATTAAGGAATATATGATTAATTTTTAAAAAAATTATTTTTAATTTGTTTCGAAAAATGTGAAACATAATAAAGATTTATATTAGTTTGTACAAATTCCTGTTTTTACACAGGTATGAATCTTGTTTTTAATTGAAGAAAAAAAATTTACTTGAAACTCACATAAAATTGATACAGATTGATATTTCACTTAAAATGTTGTAATCTATATCGTTTCTCTTATTTACCACTATATGATCATAACAGGGAACTTTTTATTCGTATAATACAACTGAGCAGGTCTCAAGATTTATATAAAGCATATGAGTTTCTTGATCAAGACTCTCAACTGATTCATAAACATACCAAATAATTATTCCGTAGGGTCATTTTCTTTCTCTAAGTTCCTATAGTCTCTCGCTGTGTCCAGGCTAAAATATCAGCTATTCAAACGCCACAAGGATACTCTATTTTATTCATAAAATGCATCCTACTTAATTTAATATTTCAAGTTTTCAGGTGTTCTCGGTTATTCGCAGTATGCTTATTACTCAATTGATGCTCTAATAAACGCATGGTTGTTATCCATTTCATCATGCATTGACATTTGACGTGACAGTTCATACAAATTATGTGCTATATAAATAATTTTTTAATAGAAAACAGAACTTGCTGTCCATTGTACTATTTATAACGTTGCGGTACCGTCGCGACAGCAGCAAATTTGTTTTTCTTTGCCATTGCGGCAGCGGCAACTTTGTTTTTCTTCGTCGTCTCGGCGTGGCAGCGGCAACTTTTATTTTTCTGCAGTCGCAGCGCGGCGTGGCAACGTTTACTTTTCGGAGCATCGCAAAGCAACAGCGGTAAGATGATATTTTTCTAAACTCATTGCAGTGCAGCAGTGACACAGTTCCAGCCGCGATGGACATCTCTCTCTCTCTCTCTCACGTCAGAGACCGAACCCAATCGATTTTTTTCGGTTCTGGTTTGGTCTTTGTCCCACATTGAATCGTATTCATTCCAATTAACTAGGCACTAATAACTGCGTTGATGGTACACTTTGTTATGAATAAATTCTATTTTCGCGAGTCAATTCTCAATATAGCCAGCCAATTAAAATAACGTTAAATGAAAAATGTTTAATTTTCTTACTTATTGTGGCCGTTACTCACGGACAAAAGTCTTTTCACCCAGTCAGCAATATGCGATCATTCTCTGCATCAAACTTATGAACAAATGAAGATTAGACGTGGGAACTATATTTCAGGGTGATGTATACCGTATTACAATAAATCTCTTATGCCATATTTTTACTGAGCAATAAAGGACGGGGGCGCATAAGGAGCCAAATCGGCCCATTTTATTTTCGCCTTTGAACAAATTGAAAAAATGCGCTGAGTATTTCTACTTAGAAAATAAAGGATTCTATAAACATTTCATACATCAAATATACAGCGTGACTTAATAGGTCACTTATATAGATATCTAAAATGACATCGCCGACTATCGCTAAGAAAAAAATCTTCCAAGAACTTGAAAAACTATCTCAATCGATAGAGCTTGAAAAGTTCTACTAAATGGAGCTATTTCCAAGTCGGAAAAGCGAAGCTAATGGCTGACTTGTCGAGGCAATAATCCAGAAAATGCATCTGCATTTCCTGCACTGAGCTTTCAGACTGTTTTGACAATGGTTGGCAGCTAATCCACATAGCCTGTGCGGAACGTTTTTATGATGGATGTTATGTTTGGGGTATAAATCCAGGACACACTTTGTTTTGGGCAAAATAATTTGCATCGTTCTATATATGTGCTTACCAAGAGGGAAGGAATGAAAGGTTTGTGATATGGCCAGAAAAAAATTAGAAATTGCAGGAACCAAGGGGGAAAAGCGATTTATGAGTTTCATGATTTTTCTGAGTTTAGCTGATTTAAAATGAGTTCGAGAAAACGAAAAATTTGCTAAACTAACTAAAAACTACTCCAAATTATAAATTATTACTGAAAATCATTCAAAGGCACCGAAACTCACGCAAACTCATTCCAATACAGTTAATTTATATTGATTGTAAGTTGAGTTTTACTGTGATTTAAATCAGCTTTTCCCCCCTTG